ATATATATATATATAGTGTAAGTCATTATATTTCAAATAGTATTGGCATAAGGTAACCTCTTGTGCAGAGATGTTGGGGCTCTGGAGCACAGTCCATGTGAAGTGGTGTTTCTGCCTCAAATTGAGTCTGGACGCTGTGTTGGCACCCGGGAAAAGCCATGCAGGGTTGGCTATTAAAAAGATGCTTTTAAGGGTAACATTTAAAATATTAGTTTTTAGATGCTGGAAAACTTGGCTTAAAGGCATTTTTGCATATTGACAGTTCAGTGGCTTACTATGTTTAAAAAAACAAAACAAAACAGGACAGCATTTTCTCCATAGGTTGTTAGGATTATTACAATGATAAACCCATTTCATTCTAAGTGACTTGCTGATGAGGAGACGTGCAGGGTGCCTGCAGGTCCCTATGGTGCTGAGGGGAGGTGTAGCTGCTCAGCTGCTCCTGAGCTCCTGTCCCCAAATTCTTGGAGGAACAAGATTAACTGGGTTCCTTGGAAGAACAGGAGTTTCTCAAATAATTGCCATCTGTGTGAAGATCAGGTACTGTATGTTTGAGTTATTAATTTCTTATGTAGGGCATTTTGCAGCTTCTGGTGCTTCATTCAGAAACTTGTGTTGAGTTTTACTCAATGTTGAGCTGTTGCAGAACAGCACAACTGCTCCTGTAAAAGGGAAGTTTTAAAATACCAATAATGTAAAAATACTGTTGGCATCCTCTCCTTAAATGCTGCTATGCTGTTGTGTGTATATGATCTTGTCTTTTTCCTCCTTGCTTTTTCTAGTCTTCAGGGGAACTTAAAGAATTCATACCAATTTGTTTATTTAAATCTAGAGTTATTGTATTACAGGTTATGTTACGGTTTACTTTGACATAATGACAATTTAAAGTCATCACCAGAGAGCAACTGTATAAAAAGATGCTAATACATTTTAACTCAGTCAAGGTTCTCTAGTGTGGGCGGGCCTGTCTTCCCTGATGTGGTGTAACAGGGGAGGGAATTTCTGAAGTGCTCCCGTCCTAGGGTCTACAGTGGATCTGGAGCACAAGGTGGAGAATTTCACTTTTTGGTCTCACAGCTCTCTGTGGCTTCTGATTGTTTTTGTCAGTGGTTCTCCTGCTTTCAGGCACTTTTGATTAAAGGGGGAGTAGGAAGCTTTGCTGGCTCTGCCTCTTCTCTTACCTATCTTATCCTATGACTAGATTAACGATTTCAAGCTTTCCTGATGCAGAGGTCTGCCGTACGTCTGTGCCACCTGGGCCTGACCTCTTCACTTGCTGATTTAAGAGAGGTTAGGGCCAAGTGTTGCCTTTGGAGCGGTGTATCATGCAGATAAGTAGCAGTGTTACTCTGTTTCTGCTGCCTCTTCAGCGCCTTCAGGTGTTGTTGCTGTTGCGCTGTTGTGCCTGCTCTGGAGACCTTCCTATCCCTTCTGACCAGTTAAACCCTCCAGTGGGTGAGGATTTGGCTGTTCCTTCCCAGTGTCTGTGGTCCTGCACGTGTCAGTGCTGACATCCTGCTGCTCTCCTGATTTGTTCAGGACAGTGGAGTGCTCTTGATTTCTATTTTTTAAAGAAAATTGTGTATTTTTTTTTTTTGCCAGTAGCTAGGTACAACTGTAGAGCTTTGGTAGGGACAGCTAAAATGCATGGTGCTGATGGGGAACTACAGGCCAGGAGATGCACTGGGAAAGAGCATGAAGTCAAATACAGTCACTGTTGCTACCGTGCCTTTCTTGTGAAAAACCATCGTTTTGTTGTATTCTTGCAACATGTTATTACTACAATTCCTTTTTTCCCTCCTTCTTACACTTGCCTTGTTGCAAGCACAACAAACACGGCAGGTAGTAATGCAGGAACGAATAACAGGAATGAGCTTGAGATCCTTGAGAAGAATTTGAAAATAATGCCATTGTTATTTTTCTCCCCACCTCCTTCTCTTCCACAAGGATTCCTTATGTCTCTAATGCAACTTTCTCTAGTGTGTTGTGCTTCCAGTATTCAAAACAGGTGCCCTGTATGCCTCACTACGACATCCTATATAACTCATTCTCATTCTATATAAAGAAAAAAAAAAGTCAGGTGGGCAGATAATGCCAGCTTTTTCTCTCTGCTCTGCGACTGAGTTGCTGGTGCGAGCTGCAGCCTGGTTGGCATCTGGGTTCCTGGCTGAGTGCTTGTAAATAAGAGTAACACCAAGCATGAGAGGAGATCTCATTCAGTCTTTTGTGCTTGCTCTGTCACTCTGCAGATTCTGACTGTCTGTTCTCTGGTGGTTTTTTGTTTACTTTTCAGTCCTGAAGTGGTAAGGACCCTGCTTTCTCTGAGATGTCAGGAGATCTGCTCTGGCTCTTGCAGTTGTTTTGTCCCTAAGTCCATTTGGAAGATCGGAGGGAAGGGAACAGTGTGAAATTTGTGTCTGCTCTGGGAACTATGACTCCAGGGCTGTTAAATCTAATACCAAGGTTTTGGTGCTGGCACTGTTACCCTGAGCAGGGTCCAAAAACCAATTTAATATTCTTATGGAATTTTGTCACCACATTAGATGAACCTTATCCCAGTGAGCTGGTATTCATTAAAAACTACCTCCCTGGCAGTAAGGCTTTCAGAAAGCCTTTTCCAACATGGGCATAGCTACACCAATCTGTCAGCATTAAATACTCTGATTTGTGGCGGAGAGCCTGAATAATTTTGGAAATTTGTTTTTGTCTGCAAGTAAAACAAAACAGCCCACAGAGCAGCTCTTCTTTGTTATCAGAACAGATCTGTGGTGGTGTGTGAATGAAATAGTTTCTTGGTGGCTGGTAGGTGTAATCGTTACTCAACCACAAGCAAAGTTCATTTGAACCCTGTTTTATTTCTCCCTGTGGCTTTTGAAAACCTGTTAGAATATACAAAGCCCGAGGGATGTATTTCAGGAATATCTGATCTGTGCGTCTTATTTCGTACTGTTTGCTTTGAGAGAGTCTCCTGGCTCACACGTAGCTTCTGAAGCACTTTGGTGCTTGAATAAAGAGATGCAACAAAAGAAAACACTCAGAAAATTTGATGTAATGTGTCACTAATGCCAGAAGAGGGTAGGCCAGTTCAAGGGAAATTTGCTTGACTTTTGTGCAGGTGGTAACTGGTTTTGGAAAAGCACTGTAAGTACTGAAGGATGCAGGTGTTGGGGTATTTAGGTTGTCCCTGTGGCCATTAGTGCTGTTGGTTATTTTTGTTTATTCTTACTACTGCATGTTTAAAAGCCCATGTTTTTTTTTCTCTTCCAGCTCCTATGTTAGGTTTGATATAATTCGAAGGATCATGACGAGGTTTTTTGGAATTGAAGTTATCATGGTGATGGGGATCACAGACATAGATGACAAGATAATAAAAAGAGCCAATGAGGTAGGTGTTTGCTGCAGTCTTTGACCCAAACTTTTGGTATTTACTATGGCTGCTTACATAGAAAAATTGACCTTGGGTTGGTTTATTTGTTGTTGAGTTTTCTTTGTTTTAATCAGTAGATAATAAACGTTAAGATTTCTGGCCCACTGTAATGGGGCTGGGAGTCTGGAGGTCTGGGCATCGAGAGCTGCGTGGAGGTAAATGGGTGCAGCCTTGTGTAAGGGGGAGAGGCAAGAAAGGCTGTGTGGCAGCACCTGTAGCTGGGGTCCTCCTGCCCTTGCCCCCTGCCTGGGAGGCCAGCAGGGAACAAACAGGTGGGGGTGAATCCTCCGTACTGTTGGAGAGTATCTTATCCCAAAAGTAACCCAAAACTTAGCAACCAAGAGGCTTCTGGCTGTGTTCTGTGCCGTCAATGGTTAAAGCCTCAGGGTGGTTCCCAAAAAGGCACTGAGCACCATCGAGCTGTAACCTCAGCACCCGGGAAAGCTTTATCAGTCTTGTCTGAGTTCCTCACCTACGTGAAAGTTGACATAGAGTGTGTGGGTAAGCCTTGATAAGACTGGGGCCTGGTGGCTGGATTAATATAAAAATGATAGAATAAAAAAACCACAGCACAGCCAAGCCTTTCACTGAATCCTCAAGTTTGTTGGCCTGATTAAAGGTTTTATGGCTATAAATAGTTCTCAGTTGGATTTTAATCAGATATTTTTACCAGCTGAGTTTGATGAATGATTATTTCAACTTTTTCCCTTTTTTTTTTTTTTTCATTTAAACATTTATGGACCCTAAAATGCCAAGAATGCATTCTGCATTTTGAAGTTGGTTTTCTTTTTTAAGTGTTGTGTTGGTTTTTTTTAAATGTGTAAGTCATGTCTTCTGAATCATAAATAATGTGTTGGATCAAATTGCAGTTTTAAGCTTTAAACGAGTTTCTTGGAGCCAGAGAATTTGACAGCTGTCATTTTATTTAATCTTTAAATAAACAGTTACTGTTGCGGTTTACTACAGAGCACTACATTCAAAATAACAGTCGCGTGATGCTCTCATAGAAATACGTGTTTGTTTCCTTTGTCCATTTACTTGTGGTTTTTGAAGGCAGTGGGGCATCTTAAAAAACAAAAGGCATTTAAAATCTTTATGTGTGCATTTTATATTTTTTCTTTATTGTCAGAACATTATGGAGATGGTGTGTTATCTCCTTCCTAGTAAGTTCTCCTCAGAGAAGATGTAAAAACTTGGATTTGAAACACTTTGGTACCATGCTTTTGCTTGCTAGGGCAGGTTTTGCTGTCATGCACCTTTCAAGCCCTGGCCTCTTCTGAATATTTGAGACTGGTATCATGTCATGCACAAATCGCCTCTTTTGGCTTGCACTTTCTTATTATTTCTTAATATTTCTGTGAGGATCCCTGTTCCTGCCCATCGCCCTGTGGATGAGAAATGGGGAGAAGGTGCTTGAGAACTGCCACGCTTGGCAAAGCGTGGGACTGACATTCAGTTCATTTCCCCTGATTAGACTGAGATCTATGAGTAACCGTGATCAGCCGAAATAGCTTATTTTTCTTAATCGCTGAGAATTAATAGCCTGTCTCATCCTGCAAGTCTCTCTTCTGCCTTTCTGATATGTAGGTGGTATCGGTATCCCCTGCCAAAAGTTGAATGAATTTCACGTCCTGGGTGCAGTAGTAGATCTTGTTGCTGGAAACGGAAGACCCTCTCAAGAGGAAAATAGGGGAGGGAGGGAAGTAGTTTGTTATTTTAATCTTCGGTTGCTTTATCTTAAAAGATATGCTTCTGAATTGCCAAAATATTAATAAATAAATGAAATACTACTCTTAAGTTATTCATAACTTTCATCTCTTTCCCAGGAATGTTGGGTTAATAAGCCTTTCCGACTCTTTACCTTGGGGGCTCTGTAAGTCTTCCAAATAGCTATTAAATGTCTGATAAAAGACCTCAATATTTTAGATCATTACTTTGATTTAGGATTTACTAGTCTGCTTCTCTTTTTCAGATGAATGTATCGCCAGTAGCTCTTGCTCGTATTTATGAAGAGGACTTTAAACAAGATATGGCTGCCTTAAAGGTACAGATACTTGACCTTCTAAATTTAGGAGTATTTTAAAGCAGTTATTTTGGTAAGGAATCTGATTTTGGCAGTTTGATCTGAAAACATAAATTGACAGTGTTGCTTGGAAACTAAGCACCAATTTACTTTTTCATTCTTCTGGGAAGATATCTTACACCTTTTGAATGAGGAGGTGAGGGGAGAAGCAAACTCGAGATTTGGAATGAACAAGATAAATTTCTTTAGAAACACAAGATTTCTTTTCGCCCCATGCAATAGAGCCTTGGTTCCCAGATAATACGCATTTAGTATAATGCAGAAATGGCCTGATCTAGGGCATATGAAACATCAAATATTCATTCATTGACTTCAAGTGTCTCTGCTTGTCCAGAATACTTGTCAGAAGCAGAAAGTAAGCCACTAGGAAAAACTACTGGATTTTTCATTTGTCTGTATTATCTTAAATGCTGCCTGTGATCTTTTTATGATACTTGCAACATTTTTTTTGACAGATAAAATTGAGGAGAATGTTCTTTGAAATTTGTTAGATTGAAGGGACTTGTCATCAGTGTGTTTTGTACAGGCTAATGAGATGTTACTCTTCTGGTTCTTTAAGGTGCTTCCTCCTACAGTATATATGAGAGTGACAGACAACATTCCTCAGATAATTTCCTTTATAAAAACAATAATTGCTAGTGGACAAGCTTATGCAACCTCGCAAGGTAAGACTTAGAGCAGGGCAGCTCCTTGTTCAGCACATGCACAGGAAATCGGTGCTCTTAGTAATCCTGTTTTGGGATCAGATGAGATAGCCTGTGCCAGGCTTTCCCTCTGTTGATTAACAGACAGGGCGTGAGCAACTCATTTGTAATGAGATGAGTGGGCAGAACAACTCTTACTCAATTTCTAAGTTAAATGTAGCTCATTACTTAACATAATTGTTTACTGTAGTGAACTGCTATCTAAGCTCCTGTGGGGAAGTCCTGGCCTGGCTTCTGCCAGAGAGCTGAGGGAACCTTTTGGCTCTAAACAGGAGGTGCTGGAAAAGATGTGCCTGTAATCACAGCGTGTGGAGCGTTTTTTAGCGGAGCTGGTGGTTGTAGAAGTATTTGTGTGTATTAAAGCTGGAGTAGCACTGCTACGTTTCAGGCAGAGAGGAGTCTGCTGATTGTGCATGGGCAGGGAAGGACCTGGGGAGGTCTCCAGAATACAAAGTTATCCTGTGTGCAAAATGAGTACACAGTGCAGTGAGGTTACTGAAAAACTGATTATGTGGAAACATGTGCTGCTATTTCTGCAGTATTTCTGAGTTTATAAATCAGAATTTCAAATGGGAGTTGAAGTGCATTTTGTTCTGTTTTGCTTTCAGGGAAATGTTCCCTTTTCATCATGAATGTGCCCCATCTTTGCTGTAAAACTAAACATTTCTTTTCTATTAGGCAATGTTTATTTTGATGTTAAGTCTTGGGGAAAAAGATACGGAGTATTAACTACTGTTTATCCTGATACTCAAGATGAAGCAGGTATGTTCATGGCACCAACTTGTTTGTATTAATGCACTGTCTGATCTCGTGATGTATCCATGCATAAACCTTCATTCAACAATCTGAGACAGTTTTCTAACCAGTTGTGTATAACCAGCTTTTTGGTTAATTAAGACCCCTTTTCTTTTTTTAAATTTTTTAAAAAATAATTTTAAGTATTTATTTTGAGGCATTCCCGTTGCCAGAGCAGGAGGACACTTGCTGGTCTCTTTTCATACTTGGTTCCTTTTATACCTTTGTTCTGGTAGCCTAGAACAATTAAGATTCTTAATTTTATTTAAATACTTGGGAGTGGTACATACAAACTTCATAGTGAGCTGGAGGTCTCAGCTGATGCACTAGCCAGCAGTGAGACAGTCAAAGGTAAAAGCAAGGAAATACCATCTACCGTGTTATTTTTGGGGCACTTTACCCTTCTGATGCATGTTAACCAGACAGATTTGGTTCTTACGTTACCTACCACTGGACTACAGCTAAGCAGCCTATTTGGGTGAGGTTGAACAATCTCTTGATAGGCTGTGCTAGAGCATGCCTATATCCTTGGCTGGATGATTTTTGCCACAGCTGTCCAGCCACTGAGCAGAACTGCTGAGCCGCTCTTTAGTTTCCGTAAGTCTGGTCTGATCAGGTCTCCGCATTGGAGAATTTGATACAGGTTTCCTGCATCCTTTGCATGCTGAAGTTCAGTATTTCTTCACAGAAAAAAAATAAATCTGTTTGCAGTTACTGAAAATGCCTGGCAGGCTGATGCTCAGGTGAACCGCAGCCAGAAGCTTCTCATGGCTCTACTCTAGAGTTGTGTCAGCATTACAGCTCGCAGAGGGAGTGCGTGTTGTCAACAGCTATTCAGAGGCAGTCACTGACTGCAAAGGCAGCCAGCAGCCTCCTGGGCTGCATTAGGAAAAGTGTTGCCAGCAGGTCAAGGGAGCTGACCCTGCTTCTCTGCTCAGCACTGGTGAGACATGCCTGCAGTGCTGGGTCCAGTGCTGGGTCCAGTGCTGGGCACGCATTTACAACAAGGACACGGATGTACTGGAGAGATGACCATGAGCCATGAGCCCTTGTGGCCAAGAAGGCCAATGGCATCCTGGGGTGTATCAGGAGGGGGGTGGTTAGTAGGTTGAGAGAGGTTCTCCTCCCCCTCCACTCTGCCCTGGTGAGACCGCATCTGGAATATTGCGTCCAGTTCTGGGCCGCTCAGTTCAAGAAGGACAGGGAACTGCTGGAGAGAGTCCAGCGTAGGGCTGCAAAGACGACTGAGGGAGTGGAGCATCTCCCTTATGAGGAGCGGCTGAGGGAGCTGGGTCTCTTTAGTTTGCAGAAGAGGAGACTGAGGGGAGACCTCATTCATGTTTATAAATATATAAAGGGTGAGTGTCACGAGGATGGAGCCAGGCTCTTCTTGGTGACAAACAATGATAAGACAAGGGGTAATGGACACAAGCTGGAACACAGGAGGTTCCACTTAAATTTGAGAAGAAACTTCTTCTCAGTGAGGGTGACAGAGCACTGGACCAGGCTGCCCAGAGAGGTTGTGGAGTCTCCTTCTCTGGAGACATTCAAAACCTGCCTGGACGCCTTCCTGTGTAACCTCATCTAGGTGTTCCTGCTCCGGCAGGGGGATTGGACTGGATGATCTTTTGAGGTCCCTTCCAATCCCTAACATTCTGTGATTCTGTGAGAGAGCCCAGCAAAGGACCACAGTGTGTTGGAGGTAGTGGAGCATCCTTCATATGAGGAAGTGCTGAGAGAGCTGGGGCTGCTCACGCTGGAGAAGGCATCTCACCCATGTGTACAAATACCTGATGGAGGGAGTGAAGGAGATGGAGCCAGGCTCTCCTCAGAGTGGACAAGAGGCCATGCCATGACCTGAAACACAGGAAATTTCACTTAAAGCTAAGAAAAACCTTTATTACTCTGAGGATGGTTAACACAAGAACATGTTGCCCAGAGAGCCTGTGTACTCTCTGTCCTTGGAAGTACTCAGAACCTGGCTGGGCACCATCCTGGGCATCCTGCTGTAGCTGAGCCTGCTCTAAGCAAGGGCTTGGCTTGCACTGGATGATCTCAAGGTGCCTTCCAGCCTCAGCCATGACTGGTGCTGTGTTTTACTCTATTTGCGCTCAAATCACAACTAATTTTACTGTTATTTCTAAAGATTTTGACTGTTGTTTTGCTTATAACTGAGAAGGTGAAGAGTGCTTTTTTAGGTAACAGTATACTCAAAAAAAGGCAAAAGATGGACGCAGTCAACAGACAGTGGTCAGCCAGAGCTTGGCAAACTAGTGAAAGAGCCAAGATGAAGATTCAGTGGATAAAACTGTATTATATTTCTGTCCCTTTATTTTATATCAGTTTTGAAGGATGAGGCAGGTGTAATGGATTTCTGTAATGTGCTTCCCTTAATATTGCATTACGTTCTGAATAAAACCTTACTCTCTATAATATCGATAAAGTACAAGTGAAATGGCGCAAGGAAAATGACCACCTAATAGGTCTCAAAAATAGCCGTGAATCATCATTAAAATGTATTGATACTGGAATGCTCCAGGGGTTGGTTCAGACCCAGTGATACAGCATGGTTTGGTTAACGATCTGAAATAAGCAGAGGAAAGAAGTAAATCTAGCGTCAAAGATAAAACAGATGAGCAGTGTTAAATGAGAGAGCTTAAAACAGTGTGAGCTGCTTGCCAAGCTGGATCCCTTCAAGCCAAATAGGTATATTCTGCATCAGGCAAATGCGAGGTCATATTATTTGTCAGCAAAAATCTGCTGAGTCCAGAAGCCTGTTCTGTAGCTCCTGCCAGGGAGTGGTGTGTATCCCACCAGGGGTCAGGAGCCAGCAGACTCTGCTCTTCTTGGTCTCATAGGATCTGAACCAGAAACTATTCGTGTCTGAGACAAAAAAAAATGCTGAGTTTTTTTGTTGTTGTCTGTGTGTTTTGTTTTGGATGGTTTTTGTTTCCTCTGCTGCTGTGGTGCAATCTGTTTGTCCTGGGAAACTGGCTGATAAGAAACTAAATGAATGATATAAACCCAGAGAAAGCCAAAAGGATTAAAAGGATAGGATGTATTAAAGAATCTTGAATCTGTGTTTTTAGCCTGCAGGAATCTAATTCAACATATTTTTTTTTCAAATGCTTGATTGAGAAACTGGAATCCCTGTATAAGGGGGAAGGGAGGAAAGCTGCAGGAAAACAAGTTGAGCAAAAGAGATTAAAATCTGAGAAATTCACTGAACACAGATTTCCACTTGCTTTCATTTGCTCTTTTTTGTTTCTTTGAGAGGTATCCACTTAACAAATCACTAATTCTTGGCAGTTGATACTGATAAATGCCATATTAAAGATTTTGCCCTGTGGAAGGCTGCCAAACCTCAAGAGCTGTCTTGGACTTCTCCCTGGGGAAAAGGAAGACCTGGATGGCACATTGAGTGCTCCACAATATCAAGGTCAGATTTCTTGGATTTTAAATCTACTGCTGGTTTTTGTTTTCAGTCACAGGACAATAGTAGCAGCAGTATTGAAAGTGGGTTTTTTGCTGAGCAACAGCACGCATTTCAGTGTGAATGCTTTGTGCAATTTGAGACGTCATGTGTGGCCCAAACTAACTCTGCTCCACCTTAATGGTGTGGCTGTCTGGCTCTGTTCTGGCACCTTCTCTTAAGAGAGATGTGGGTATTTAAAATACATATTTAAAAATATATATATCTATTTAAAATATCCTGTGCAGGATCACACAGTTGATCGATTAGCAAGTCTTCTAACTTGAAGTGAATAACCAAAGTTTTAGTGGAAGTTACGGTACCTCTCTCAATTGCCTCCCTACCACTTTTTGCAGTCTCCATTGGTCCTAGTCCAGCATCTAGTGCTGTATCAGGACAGGCTATGGGTTTCCATCCTGACTCTAGTGAGCGTGTGAGCTCTTGCTAGCCTTATCTCAACAGCAGTTGTGGATATGCATCCTAATCGTCTAAGCGTTATTCAGCTTTCTTTAAAAGTCAGCGACAGTAATAAATACTCTGATTTCTCCATGGCAGTAGTATTGTGGATGGTGGTATTTTGTCCTGCACTGTATTACCTTATGACCTGTTAATTTGTGCTTTGAAAAAAGAGATTAACTCTTCTTTCCTGGAAGATTGATTGTAGTGCTTAGTTTTGCATTAGTCTTGGATCTTTTTTGGAAGCTAAACCCAAATTATTTAGGTCTAGCCCTGTTTAAATTGCCAGTTTTCAACCCAAGCTGAAAGCAGACAGAACAGGAGCTTTAGGTTTCTTTTTCATATGCTTTGCTGGTGCACTTGGGTTTGTTAGTCACTACTACCTGATTGTGAAAAGCATTTATAAAGGTGATTTTCTGTCTGTAAGTAGTTTCGTCACTGTGAAACAGTTCTTAAAGCATCAGAAGTGCACAAAACCATGCTATATTTGAAGTGCAGCCTGTGACAGAAGTGCACTCTAGGTAAGAAATGCCAACCCATCACAAAACGGCCTATCTGCTAATGTGGTGCTGTTTGTAGTCTGCATTTCTTTCTGTTAAAACTTATTTTACGGTGATTGAATGAGGCTGCTTCGGTGTAAATAAGAGCTGACCCATGCAGATCATAAGTATAGTAATCTTGGACTGTGAAAAATGAAGGGATAATTTTGGTAAGTTACCCAAAATGTTTTTCTGTCCCAGTCAGCTGTCCAAGGCCCGTTTTAAGCAATGCCTAAGCAATGTCTGTTTTGCCAAAGATCTCAAAGCACTTTAAGGTAGTTTAAGTAATTTCAAGAGGTCTTTGAAGTGTGCCTGGAGAAGGTGAATGAGAAGGGCATTGGTGTCAAGTGCAGCCCTGGAGAAGGAAACCACCTTCCGTGACCTAGGTCTGGTCTCCTCTCTGCAGTTTCCCTTGCAGTGAGATGGGCTGCTCCTCCGGCCCCTGGGTGTTTTGCAGATACATCTCCCCTCTCACCAGCTCTTAATGGTTTTGTTAGGGGAAACAGCAAGTGGCCAGGGCTCCTCTGTAGATGGCACAGGGGAAGCCCTGAGCTGGGGCCTGTGAAGACCTGTGAAGGTCTGTGCTTAAGCTGGTTCTGGAGCAGACAGGAGAAAGCAAAGGGACATGAGCTTGGGAAATGGGAAAGCCTGGTCTTTCTTCCCTCCTCTCTTCTCCTTGTTTTCTTCCTGTGCCCCAGCTGCTTCTGCAGGGCCATCGTGACCCAGGGTGTTAACAGGGGTTTTTTTTGTCCCTAAAAGAGACAAAAGTATGAATATTTAGCCAGCTACCAGGAGCAACGTGTTAATGTGACCTATGGGAAGACTCCATGTGTGTGTCTGTGTGTACACGCACATGCACATGTGTGGGGCTTACCTTTTATTTTCTACTCATGTAGACCTTGCATCTTCCCCAACTTGAGTGCCCCTGGTTTCTGGACAGTTAGCATTGATTAACCTCCCTGTGAGGGGATAAACGTTGTCTTTATTTAACAGATGGGCAAAATTAAGTTATTAACTTGCCCAGCATGACCTAGCAGGGACTTGCTGAAGCAGTGGACAGAGCATAGTGGCCTTGTTTCCTGGGGTTTAACTAGAAAGTGTCTGGGTCTGTCTTGTGTGCCATTCTTTAATCTAAGTTAGAAAAATAATAGTGCCTACTAAGAATTAATTGTGGGCAGATATGGGTCTTATCCGTACAAGTTCTGCTGCAGTTTTGGTATCCAAGATCTGTGTCAAGTCTTGTTTTAAAACCGCAGCCATTAAATTGTACACTTAAATGTATGATGTTTCATCTTATTATCTTCTGCATTTGTTTTACAAAAACTTTTTGTAGTGTTCTGCTTACTGATCAGGAAATTATTGTTACAGTGCAGTGTTTGGGAAGCAGCTGGACATCCATACCGGTGGCATAGATCTTGCATTTCCTCATCATGAAAATGAAATCGCACAGTGTGAGGTGTATCATCAGTGTGAGCAATGGGGCAATTACTTTTGGCATTCTGGTAAGTAAAATATTAATGATCTGAGAGGCGAGTACAAATATAAGGGTTTGGGTTTATTTAGGCTTGGCGTTGTATGCTATGAAAACGGATGCTCTACTACAGTGACCAAGTTCCTGTCCTCACTAGGTGAAGAAACATAAATGAGAGTGAATCTTGAAACGGTAGAATGGATGCCTTTATTAATTAAGCAGTTACAGTGAAATATTCCTTCATTTCATCTGGGGATGTCTCCAAATGATAACAGTATATGCATTGCCTATGTACAGTGCTTATTCCTAATTAAAAATGTGGAAAGAAGGGTTTTTCCTGGGGAATCTCATTCCTTTTCCTTTGAATTTCCTCAAAATTTGAGGGTACTCTTTGTGATAGGCTTTCTCTTAATTGTATTATAGCTGTAACAGTCCTGCAGGAACAAGATGAAAATAGTTGATCTTTTCCATATATGAAAACAGGGAGTTGGAGGTGGCAAGTGGGCAAGTAGCTGATTTTTAAAAGCATTGAGAATAGAATAAAGCAGTCTTCTTCCCCAGTGTCTCTTGACACCAGTTCCTTGTGGGCTTAAAAAAAGTTTTCAGTAGCATGAAGAGTCAAATAGCCTGTGTTTGTAAATATGGTGAAAGGCTTTTTATCAGGATAAGAAAAGACATCTGGAAAAGTAAGAATGGAGAGAATAGACTGATGAGCCAACAAAGCTCACAAAGTTGTGGTCCTGCAGGGAAACGTCTGAGCTGGGATGTTCTGTATGGTTTGAAATGTGGGGAAAACTTGCAGGTAGATGCTCTGCTACAGCAACCAATCACTGGACGTTCTGGGAGTGCAGTTCACACAGCTGTAAATATTTAAATTCTCCTGGGAAGCCTTTTCTATCCACCAGTAGCATTGCAGCTAGTGATGGGTATGAGAAACAATATGCATGCTGAAGACCAAGTGAGTCAGATGCTTTGGTCTACTCTGGTCAAGCATGGTCAATGATGTTGTTGGTGGGTAGAGACAAGGAGGTCTGTGATATCTATGACCTACACCAATACCAAGTCACTCACCTCTTGGCTCTGTAGAAAAGTAGAGACATTTGAGTCTTGTCACTATGATCCCTTAACCTTCCCTGATGCTCTGACCAACTTCAGAGTCTCTCTGCTTTCATATGGAGTGTGAGTGACTTGGTACTGGTGTAGCCCACAGATGCCGCAGAGCTTGTCTCTTCCCCCAGAAGTGACCTCGCTGGCTGCGCCTGACTAAACTGTACCAAAGTGTCTTTTACTTGCTTGTTCTTCAGCACATGACGCTGCCTGGCACTGTGTAGAACTGCTCCTTGCTGCCTTTGCACAAGAGTGCTTCAGAGAAGCTTGTGCCATCCAGTGCTTTGAACTGCGTCATTGGCTGATGGTACCAGAACTGTTGATGGAAATCTTGACGCTTGTTCTTCCTGTTGCAGTCATGGTTATGGATGGTCTCCAAAGAACTGAAGTCGATAGAAAGTCAGGTTCAAATCTGCAGTCTCTCTTCTTGCTGAACAGTACTTTGTGCAGGATGTCTTGGTGAACTCTTTGTGCTGCCTCTCTGAGTAAGAGATGCACAGTTAAGCCTGTGCTATGCTCTGGGAGTTACTTGGGCTTTCTTTTATATATATATATATGTTTGTACTGCACAGGATTAATATTGAATTTGAGTTTCAGCTCCCAATGTAGAGCCTGTTATAAATCAATAGCAATTGTCCAGAGGCTGCTGCATCCTCCAGGGTGTGCTTCGCTCCTGAAGTGCTGGGGAATTTTCTGCACATCCACTGAGATGCACTGGTTACTGCCAGCTGAAAACCAATGAATCTGACTTTTCAAGCTTGGAATTGAAACTGTAGGGGAAATACTCTTTAACTAACTAAAGAGGAATAATTTTTTCTTAAAAAACAACCCAAACTTAATTCCAAGGGCAATTTGTACACTGAGGTTCTCTAGGAGCTGACAGATTACATTCATTAAGTCAAAAAATTTTGCTGGCGGATGGTCACGTAAATTATTTAGGGCAAATGAATCGCCTTCAGAAACAATTTATTCTGGTAACAGACTTCAGAATTTTAGCAGGCTCAGAATTGGAAGAGCAATCCCCATTAGAGGAAGAAAATCCCTGCACTGGGGATAAATCTTCTTATAAGGACTTTATTTTTAGACTACTTGTACTCTGGGAAGCGTGCCAAGCCAAAGTTATGAAAATCCTTGTATTTTGTGATTCTTTAATGAAATCATTCCAAGTGCTGCAACTCTTGAAGAGGAATATTATTTCAAATTCAGATGTTTCCAGTACCTTATTAGGAAAACGTATTCAAACTGTTTTAAGCTTGGCTGCCTAAAGTTAAGTATATTTAGGCACCTTTGCAAAAGAAAAAAAAATAATCATAGCTGGGCTCTTCCCCTTCTTACAGGAGAAGTTTATGGGTTTTCACAGAATATTAGGAGTTGGAAGGGACCTCGAAAGATCATCCAGTCCAACCCCCTGCCAGAGCAGGATCACCTAGACCAGGTCACACAGGAATGCGTCCAGGCGGGTTTTGAATGTCTCCAGAGAAGGAGACTCCACAACCTCTCTGGGCAGCCTGGTCCAGTGCTCTGTCACCCTCACTGAGAAAAAAGTTTTTCCTCATGTTCAGATTGAACCTCCTATGCTCCAGCTTGCACCCATTGCCCCTTGTCCTGTCATTGGACATCACAGAGCAGAGCCTGGCTCCTTCCTCCTGACTCTCGCCCTTTAAAAATTTATAAACATGAATGAGGTCATCCCTCAGTCTCCTCCAAGCTAAAGAGACCCAGCTCCCTCAGCCGCTCCTCATAAGGGAGATGCTCCACTCCCTCAGTCATCTCTGTGGCTCTGCGCTGGACTTGTGACTCAAGTAACACTTTGCTTGAAAAAGAGCTGCAGGTGTCCAGTGACTCTGACAGCCTGAATGTTCTGGTTGGAGGCCCTGGGTTTGACCATGGAATGCTGAAAATTACCTCACCTAACCTCAGTAAGGACCAGTACGATGTAAATAGGATTTTGGGTTGATCATAGGTTTATGCTGTAGCTGTTTCTGCATCCATAGATCTCTTGATTCTTTTCTACTCTCCATAGAGAATGTTGTGCAAACTTTAATTTCCAAGTGGTCAGGGTAGGACCAGAGGTAGCCTTCTTATGGAGACTCCCTGCTGCATTGAGTAATTGTCAGAAACAGCTGAGAAGGGAAACCAGATGCTTTTCATGTCTATGTACCAGGCCTGAGCATGCTGCTTTTGTACCCAGATGAGCATAATGGGGATTTTATCTGCTTGTGAAAGAGAGGGGTTTCCCGGCAAAGCTGCGAAAGTGGCACTGCTGAGAGAGTAGCACAAAATTCAGGCAGCTACTTGGGCTGCTGAGCAAGAAATGGCACCTCTGCCACCACCTGTAAAAGCTGATCGTGTTATCCTTGAGGAGCACTCCTAGGCACTGGTGATGCTGGACTGCCAAATCTGAAAGAATGCAGAGCGCTGGTGTGGTATTAAAGAGTGAGAAAAGCTCATGCTTAGATAATCTGCCTCTGAGTACAATTAAGTGCTGGATTCTGCGGGTCGCCAAGGCCCTGAAAATTGCGTGTTACTTGTGGGTGCTTGGTAACTTACAGGATTACCCTTTTTATTAGGAGAATCCAATTAAGGCTTTTATCAACATTTCTGAAATGATGCTGAGTAGTCTTTTATTGGTTGTGTGTTCGGCATCTCTCCGGTGCTGTGAATAATTAATATTTTCCATCAGTGGCGGTGCTGTGGCTAGCATGGTCAAGGCCTGGGAGCACACGGCCTGAGGTTGCCCATCTCCTGTCTTGCTTCAACAGAACTTTCAATCCTGAAGCTGAGCTCTGCATACTCTCTTAAATGTGGTGGAGATGGTTACTGCCTTTTTCCTGTAGCACAGCTCTGCAAAATGATGGTCCGTGCAGCTACTGAAAGCTCTATAAACGGTCAGAGATTGCATTTTAAGATAAGCCAATTCAAATTAGACATCACAGCTGCATCCCTCCCTCCCCCTTCTTTTTCTCAGTCTCATTAAGTCTGGAGAAATAGGGAATGTGTAGAAAATTAGTTTTACACATAAGGTATTTTAACCAGCACAGTAAACTTTTGGATTAAAAAAACCCCAAAACAGTCTAACAGCCAGCAGCAAGGAATAAATACAGAAGATGTTTTGAAAGATTATAATGTGAGATCACTGGAAGATCTTTAAAGGTCTTAAAATTTTTTTGGAAAGACAAGAGTAACAAGTAAGGTACTTTCCTGTGAAGATTGAAAATATTTCCTGTCTTGTTTGCTTTTATCAGCTTATCATAAATTCTGAACAGGGAAACCTTTTGGTTTTTTCCTTATTAATGTCTCTGCTCATGGTGATGTTGTTTTTGTATTGTTAAAAAAAAATAAATTATTCTCCCCTGTTTTAAAATTCACCCATCCAAAGTTGAGGATGGAGAGGTGTGCAGGACTGTAGGCAAAGCTATTGAAAAATAGATTACATGTTGCATTGAAATGGTTGGCACACATCCATCGCAGCATATACTGCCTCCAAGATTACCAGTATCTCAGTGCAGTCTTTCTCATTCACTCCCCATTCAGAAGTACACTCATTTATCCTGGTTAATTTTTTTTTGTTGTTGTTCTAGGGCATTTGCATGTTAAAGGAAGTCAAGAAAAAATGTCCAAGTCATTGAAAAACTACGTAACAGTTAAGGTAATCTATTTCTGTGAATTGAAGCAATGTACGTTTGTAATATGTAAATATTAATCACAGCCTTCTTTTGAGAAAACATTGGAGTGTGTGCTTATGCTGCAGCTAAATATGTAAATATTAATCACAGCCTTCTTTTGAGAAAACACTGAAGCGTGTGCTTACGCTGCAGCTAAAGACCTGAAGCATAGTGTTTCTGTAGTGCTAGTGTACCTGTTATTGCACATCTGGATGTAGGAAACCCTCTTGGACTCAGGGTTTGTTTATAACGTGGGTCTCACTGAGCTGTGATCTTTTCTAGGAGCAGCGTTTGTGCCCAATACCAGACTTCTGCATTATAGTTTTACGGTTGGACTTGACAGTCTCAAGGGTCTTTTCCAACCTAAATGGTTCTGCTCTATAGTGATGAGTTCTTATCTGTTTGCTCTTAATAGTGCATATGCTTTTGGGACTTGGAAACGAACGGATGTTTTTCCTTGTTCTGCTTAGGAGATGTGGGATGTGGTGTCAGCATTTTGTCAGGAAGCTATCAGGTGTCCCACTACCCCACTATGCCAGCAGTCTCTCATATTCTCATTTATTTTTATACATTCACCTTGCTGATTCACAGAGAGCTTTGTCTTTTGGTACCCACAAGCCACATGAATATGTCCTATTTTACTGTGTCCCAAAGTTTTTAGTGTAGGTCAGAGCAGGGGTTCTGTGCCAGGTGTCTGCGATACAACTGTGCTTGGCACTGGGGTGGCTTCCGTGATGGCTGACAGCCATTGCTAGAAGTGGGTAATTTACTTCCCTTAGACAAAGCTTGAGAGGCTGTTTCAGCACATATGTTCCCCTTTGCCCTCTCGGAAGACTTAATTAAAATCCCTTTAAAAAGAAGTTCAATATGAGCTGCTTTATTCTTAATTCTCCTGATGCTGTCTGGGTATGGTTAAGCTCTGTCTACCCTAGGAAAACTACCCATTTCTCACAGTTTTCACAGAAATTGCCCTAGTCTCAGCAGACATTGTGGACAAGGTGGAGAAATGCAATGAATGCAGTGAAGAATAACGTATAGAAACATTCACCTCCATGTCTGCGGTGTTGAGAAGACTTCAGGCCCATCTCTCTTCCCTTCTGGGTCTCGGCTTTTAATTTCTGCCCTTAAACTCGACGAACAAGAATTAATCCTTCCCTGTAAGCGATTTTTCAGTCCAGTCACACAAATTTCCTCCTGTACAGCCTTTCTGCATCTTGAAAGTTAAGCCCTATGAGGAATTTTTAATGCCTGCTCTGAAAGAGGCAAGGCCTGGTGGGATGGTGCCTGCGGCCTTCCCTTGCTCCCACCGGCAGCCATCTGCATTACTGGCTGTCACCCCGGCATGGCCACCCTGCATTCTCCATGTCCAGCTGCCCTGTTTTCCGTCCCCCTTGGCCCCTTCTCTGATTATTTTTTTAAAATTTTTTATTTTTTATTTTTTTTTTAAATGGCTGTTAATTCTGGCCCCCAAAGCCAAGCACATTGCAATAACTCACAACTGAGCAAACTGCTTTGAAAGAATTCTGGTATTTTCTCTGCACTCCATTTTAAAGGAAATGCAGAGTTAGTTTTTCCAGTTTGGATGGTCTTTTCCCAAATTTGAATTTATTTCTGTGCTTTACTCATGTTATTCTGTCTTTGGATATTACCATAAAGCTTCTGGACACTTTAGTTGCACTCAGTTATGTAGTCTTTATTTAAAAAGAAAACAAAACCACCAACCAAAAAAGCCAGTATCACTATTTCTGGATTTAGTTTGCCCCGATTTGCCTCAGTTATTTCTATTTTTGCATGAGAGGCAACACATAGCTGACATTTTGCTACCTTCAGGCTGCTATAGTCTGGTAGTGGAAGCTAAATTTTGAAATGTGCATCTTTAAGCAAATGACACTTTCCATATTTTCTCACTTGTATTGGCTTTTCCTCATGATTTTCTATTTCAGTGGTGCTTCAGTGTTACCAACTTACATCACCAATTTGCAAATTAAAAAAAAAAATCAGGAATGCAATATTGGCAGTCAATCTGCCATGGTGTTCAGCCCTGCTGAGAGCAGAGTTGGAAGTGATTGACTGTTTTATCAGTGTACCTTTCAAGCATTTAAATGGTTCTTTATAGTATTAGTATAAATTAATTACACTAGTAGTAATAGTAATAATTTACTATTTACTGTAGGAAATACTTGTAAAGCTAGATAAATATTAGAGTGAAATTAATGAAGCTTCATAATTAACATAGATAAATTCTAGCAATATTAAAAAGCGGGGTTTTGTTCACTCCCTGTTTTCCTTCATATTCTAGTCCTGCAGAAAAAGTACACTTACTTTCTTTTTCAATAAATAATTATTTTTTTCATGAAGTTTGCAAAACTCAGGAGCTGACTTTCCCTGCAAAATTGTATCCCAATCTTAGCCTGGTAATTTCAGTTTGGTTTTTTGCAAAGGTCTTTATACAGTGTATGTTTGATCATAATCACCAAGTGTTTTTCACTGTCTTATACTTGACATCATGTTTATATTTATATCTTGTATATATGTAAGCACATTTGTCTTATGTGGAATTAGTTTACTTAGTTTAGACTTTAAACTAGTGTTACAGTTTAAAGCTTTATGCCTATCTTAAACTACAAAGATGGGTTATTGTCATGTTAGTTTGTCTGAAATATGCTGTGACACTTGTGTAAGGGGGTGAAACAAGTCCTGATGAAATTGTTTGATATGATGCTAAAGCTGTCTTTTTGTGGGTCGAGTTTAGGATTTCCTGAAGAAATTTTCATCAGATCAATTCAGGATGTTTTGTTTGCGCAGCAGATACAGTTCAGGTAAGGAAAAAATAATAAAAAAATAATAATAAAAAAACCCCCAACACTTTATTTGCTGAGATATGCATGACTTTCCACACACAGTCCCTAAACTGTTGGTGCAGAGGTGCGGTGGCGGAGCGGGCTCTCCCTGTGGTGCCCTGCTCTGGGAGGTGGAAAGGTTGTCGGTGCTCTGTGGGGCTGCTACTTGGCTTCTCACTGAGCACAGTACATAACCATTCGTCTAAACACCTTCCTGAGCCGCAGTTAATTGCGACTCTCAATTACTTGCACTTCCAATTAATGAATTACCTCCATCTCTGATTTGCCTCTGTTGCAGTCACTTGTATTTCAGTCATGATCAGCTGTTTTTGGAGCTGTATCTAGGTGGAGCTTTGCTTTATATTCCCGAAGGGTATGACAAGGGCTTGCTAATAACTTTTTATCTGCCTGCTGTGTTACCGTTTTTTGTCCTACCGAGTGTTCAAGCAGTTCTGTGATCCAGTGCAGATCGCTTATGCCAGCGCTTGATAACCTAATGATCATCTTAGCCTGGTAAGCACTGCTAGTGTGGAGGTGTGGGAGATGTTGTCAGCTTCCCTGTCTGTGCTGTGGTGTTTCCAGCAGACAGATGCTACTTTGAACTGGAAGAGCTTTTCATTTGGATAATATTTTTACCAGTTTATTGGGGCCTGCCAAAAGCGGATTGTAGCTCCCCTAAGCACTGATGGGTCATCTGGCTTGTTGGCTGTCCTGGCATGGCAAGGGGATGGTGGAGCACAGGGTAACACCCACTGTGTTTTTTATGCAGGCCCATAAGTTGCCTGAGATAAAGCACCCCTAGCAGTGGGATGAGGAGAGCTGGTGTGGTTAAGGCTCTGGGGCTTTGCCAGTGTCTGCAAGTCTTTATAGATGTGCAGTCATTGGAGTGAGAAGTCTTTTTGATCATTAATATCTCTGGCTGCTTGCAAGAGCCACCTGTCTGATCTTCCTGGTGGAGCCTCCCTCTCCTAAGGCAGCGGGAGGCATCAGGAATACCTTGTGTCTCTGAAATATTTCAAAGCGTGGGGTAGTAATGAGACTGCTGGTTATTAACTGCTGACCTCCACCATGGTAGGAAGAGAGGAGCAGATCCAGGTGTGAAGTTTGCTGCAGAACATGCAGGAAAGGGGCAGGCAGTGGGGAGCACTGCCGCTGTGGGGTGATGCAGCAGAATGGTGGCAGGCCTGGGTGTTTTGGGGTGATGCTGCAGGACAGTGGTACACCTGGCTCTGGGTTTCTGTCAGGAGATGAAATACGTTATACACACATAAATGGCTCCCAGGCTGCAACTAGGGGCACTTCGGAGCCTTGAACAAATGTGTATATAAAACAAAAGAAGAAAAAAGGCGAACACCTACAACACAAGCATATATATGTTTATCCTGTAAAGAAAAGCCAAATTGCTGGCAATTTCAAAGCTTGCCTGGAGCAAGGAATGGCCCTGGAACCCTGGAGCTAAGGCAACTTGTGCACCTTCTTTGCTGCATGTCAGCTGGCTGCATTTGAACCCCTGTGAGATGGATGTGACCTTTTTTTGCCATACTTCTAGGTTAAATACCTTCTTGTGATAAAAACAGAGGTCTGTCTGTGCAAATACAGGTGGTTTTGATGAAAGGATTCAGTTTATAGTGCCAGCAAGCCACTGGACAGATAAGGACTGCTCAAAGGTCTGCGCTTGCTACAGAATGAGGTAGGGTGCAGTGATTCACTGTCAGATAAAAAGCCAGAGTCAGTCCCTGTTGAACCAGGTATTTACTATGCAACCTCTCAGTTTATGTCCCTGCTATTGAATCACTTTGGTCTAAAGATAAGTTTACTGCACTCCTCCTCATCTTGCTGTCTGCTTAAGTATTTTTATGAGAAGTGAGATCCCAAGCGTCTTCTGTTTGTTCCTGAAAGGGTTTTTGTAACCCAAACCTGTTGACAATGTTTCCTACTTTCCCTGCTTGCAGGCAGTGGGGTTTTGTCCCCAAAACGCTCTCCTGGTCACCGGAACCCCTCTGGTGATTTTGTGCACCTGTGTAAACTGTAATAATTTGGTCCCTCTGGTCTTTTAATTACTTGTTGGTGCTAATAAACATGTATTTTGTAATTTGACAATGTGGTGGTGATGCTCTCGGTGGCAAAGAAGGGAAGGAGTAGGGAGTAGAAGATTTATGGAGCTGGGCTTGCCCGTGCTGCGCCATGGGTTTGCAGTGACTGCAGGCGGTGGTTTAGGAGAGGGCCTTGAATCGGGGAAGAAGAACGGCTTTAATCAAAGTGGGCTTCATCAGGATAAACTTTCATCAAGTATTCCTCGCGGGGTTCCCATAGCCAGGGTAATCAGTTGAGTAATCTTAGCAGATATAAATGATCCCTTCCAATATCTCGCTGTTTTCTAAAAGTCTGCACATCAGTCTTTTTAAAAGCTGAGTAAAGCTTAATATTAAAACCAATGCTAATGAGGCAGTAATGCAGATTTTTAATTATACAGGAGTGAAAAAATCTGACAAATACAAGTCCAGACTTATGCCTTACTTACACTGGGGTAAATCGTATGGAAAGTCTGTTTAAATAAGCTTCTTTGGGAATTTAGGCTAACCAAACCGAGTCCAGGTCTCACATCTGGCTGCTTCTGCCCTCTGAAATCTGTGCCCTAAGAGGCTGTGTCTGCTCACTGCTGGGTAGCTGCCCAAAGCAGTTGGCTGTAATGTGGGCAGGATCAGAGGTGAGATTTGCTGTGGAGGCTACGAGTGATGCTCAGTGCTGCTGAGATGAGGAATACAATGCGAGTGGTAGTTTGGGTGTTCCTGAGGGCAGAGGTCAGGCATAACTGCCCTGCCCCTCTGCTCTGGTAAGACCCCACCTGGAGTACTGCGTCCAGTTCTGGGGCCACAACATGAGAAGGCCATGGAGCTGTTGGAGCGGGTCCAGACGAGGGCCACAAAGGTGATCAGAGGACTGGAGCACTTCTCCTATGAAAACCGGCTGAGAGAGTTGGGGCTGTTCAGCCTGGAGAAGAGAAGGCTCTGGGGGAACCTTATTGTGGCCTTCCAGTTCATGAAGGGAGCTTACAGGAAGGCTGGGGAGGGGGTCTCTATCAGGGAGTGTAGTGATAGAACAAGGGGCAATGACTTTAAACTGGAAGAGGGTAGATTTAGGCTAGATATTAGGACAAAATTCTTTACTGTGAGGGTGGTGAGACACTGGCACAGGTTGCCCAGGGAAGTTGTGGATGTCCCCTCCCTGGAAGTGTTCAAGGCCAGGTTGGACAGGGCTTTGGGCAACCTGGTCTGGTGGGAGGTGTCCCTGCCCATGGCAGGGGGGTTGGACCAGATGAGCTTTAAGGTCCCTTCCAACCCAAACTGTTCTGTGATTCTGTGATTCTATGATAAAATGGTGAATCAGTACTGCACTGGCTGTGCATGGCTCTTGGATGTAAGTCATGGCTCTGGTGCAATGTTGTGGGAAGGAATACATTTAAACTTAGGCCTGTCCTTGGTGGACACAACTTCTACTGAATTCGGGTGAGCTGTCTTGTCTGTGGGGTCCAAGTGCTCCTCTACAGAAAAACTTGTGTTACTGTACAAATAAAAGAATTGCCTCTTGCTGATGGCAGCTTGCAGTAAAAGTGCCAGGGGCCAACACCTGCACTTCTGGGGCCTATGCAAGGCAAGAGGAGCCCGCTTAAGCCTGAGCCAGCAGAAGTGGAGGCTGATCGTTCCCAAAGCACTGTTGCCTGCCAAAGCTGGAGCCCCACTGAATAAGGATGTGGTGCACGGATGCCATGTCAGTGGGGGGCTAATGTCGTCTTTCCAGCTGGTGGAAGAAAAACACTGTAGAATTTGGGTATAACAGATCTCATTTGTAAAGCGGAACTCCACTTAAGATATCATGAATCGTTTACCTTATGGTTTTATCTTCTTTTCCAGTGACTGGAAGAGGCTTAGATATAAGTGTGTAAGTTAAGTGTGATGAATCATATCCCAGACATGCCTTATGAGTTTAATCAATTTGTATTTTCTCTAATAGTTGCCTTCAAAAATTGACACGGTCAGTTTAGTTTTGATATTGTGAGGGAATTGTGTATCTAGTGCAGAGTCTAGACTGCAAAATTTGAGGTCCATCTAGATTTTAGATGCTGGTGAAGCAGCCCTTTAAGTGCCTGTGTTCCTCACACAGTCAGTGGTGAGGGTTATGCCTCTCTAGAGGTCTCCAAATACAGAATTGGGATAGGAGCAAGCTTAGGGGTGAGATCAAAGGTATGTCTTGCCAACTTATATCTGGGGGGATGCTTAGAGATATATCCTATCCAAATGCTTTGGAGTAATAACTTCACTGAGAGATTCAATAATGAAAAAAAAAATAGTTTAAGTCAAGTAGCTATTGGTTCAATCAGCTTCCAGACACTTTTTGAATCAGTCTGGTACCTTTCCAGTAGATTATACTTTGTCATATGTAATGATTGTCCTTTATATTGATTTAATTTACCTAGTATGCATGAACAACAGAGTTTTTAATTAAATATGCAATTAATTACAAGAAAAGCTTGCTGTGACAAATACTAATAAGCTTTCCCTGGAATGACTTTGTCTAGAATATTGTTCCTGTGTATGACAGACAACATCCTTTCTATCATAACACCTGAATAATTTTATTTTCTTTTTCCTTAGGAGTAGAATTTAGTGATGAGAGCATGGAGGATGCAAAGCACCTTCTTCAGGCAATCTCCTCATTCATTAAAGATGCAAATGATTATATAAAAGGACAGCTGATATGTGACCCTGTTAGAGAAGACATACTGTGGGAAAGGTAAGTGCATCTCCTGTGTCTGAAAGACTGTGATTAAGTGAGCAGTGATTTGCTGAGAAGCTCTGAGGGCTGACCACTGTAGTGTACCAAGTCAGGACCAGAAGAAGGACTGGAGCAGTCTTCCCTGCGAGCCCTCACCAAGGGCAATTTGGGGTTTTTTTCCTTCTTTTTTCTAGCAAAAGCTGCTTTTCCTCATAGTCTGCTGCACTTAGAATACACTCTGGGATGTGGGATCAGACGGGAAATGTCCTGTGCTGTAGAAGTGAGTGGCAGCTTCCTCACGATGTGGGCACCTCACTGTTGAGGCGCTTGTGGCTGTGCCAGCTGAGGCGTACAAGGGCCACTGAAAAGTGTTACAGGGGAAGGGGAGTTTGAATTAACTGGTTGTGGTATTTGGCAAAAGCAGGTCCCTCAGCAGGAGGCTGCAGGAGGGCTGTTGGTGAGACATAAGGCTGAGAGACGCGGGGCATGTGGGCAAGTCAAAATGGACTGTCAGTGGGGAAAGTGGAGGGCACAACCTGTGTATCGGTGGATGAAAAAACAACCAAAATTAAACAGAGCTCTTAATTGGGAAAGTGGTAGATATGCAGTGGAGAGGGGGAAGCTTGCAGGGGAGTGTGTTGGGAAGAATGAGCTGGGGAAGCAGGCAAAAACACTCAGGCAAAACAGGGTTCAGGAGAGCCCCAGAGGCGCTAGGATGGCTTGAGGTTCCCCAGGTAACCCTGTTCCCCGAGCTTTATCATGAGATGCCATCATCAGGTAAGCGCTGTTGAGGTCTGTCCTCATCCTCCCGCTCACAGCGGCTGGCACTGATCCTGCAGCCACCAGTGCTGGTTGCCTGCTGGCTTTTGGTGCCGTGACTCGAATGGTCTCACCAAACCTTTCCACTTAGGCCAAGCTGAGTGGAGTCGCGGGGCAGTGAGTGGGCCTGCATGGGAAATGAGGAAGCAGTACCTGCTTCTGAGCTGGATCCTGCCAACAGGGCTCCTGGCAGACCCCAAAAATGGTTAATGTGCTTAATATCAACCTCATTTTTCATCTGTTTTTAAGTGGTTAAGGCAAGCCTTGCTCTGCCGTTGTTGGCCCCTGTGATTAACCGAGTATTTATTGAATGGATGTAGCGCTTTGGGTTTTGACGTGCGTCAAGTTCTTCCCTTTGCAGCTGAAGGATGTACTCTCCCTGATCAGCGTAGCATTGCCTATCGCTGGACAGCAGGGAAGGAAGCGGCCGTGTCCTTTCGATGGCTCCCTCTGGCTGAATGGCTGATGGATTCAGCGCACTGCTGGCACCTTGTTTGTCTTATCTTAAAAGTTTCCTCTGCTTCTTGAAGGCTGGCCAGCACTAAAGTAACCGTGAAGGCTGCGTTTGCAGATGACTTTGACACCTCCAGGGCTGTCGCGGCAATTATGGACCTCATTCACCATGGCAACAGACAGCTTAAGGCTGTTACTAAGGTAACCCATTAGGATACAGAGATCAGAAAATGACAGCTGTCCACTGTCCTACTGCTTAATGCAGACAGATTAGTTTATTGTTCACATAAGAAACCAGCAGAAACAAAGCTCCATAAATTGTTGACCTTAACAGTGCCCATTTGTCCCGCCCGTATTGCAGGAATTGTGTACGGCTATTTTTTGGGGGGGCTTCGTTGTGTCTGAAGGATGTTTCTTTCCTGCTGCCCTATGTTATTTATACCTAAAGTTTCTGAAAGGCCTGAAGTCATCGTGGCACGCTGCTGGTTTTACTGCAGGTTTTGTGTTCTTACCCCGCTTCTTCGCTTAATACCTACACACAGAAATCAGCCTAAATTGGGCAAGGAGGGGGGGAGGTGTTTGCTGCACCTTTGTGTTCTGAGGTGCTTTTATATCTGTAAGAGCTCCCATCCGGACAGGTGTTGCAGGAGGTAGATCTGTGTAATTGGTAACAGTTTTCCCTGGTGGATGAGGTGACATGGAGGTGCTGAGTTCTGTGACACGTATTGACCGCACAATCTCTTTTGGGTGTCTTTTAAACAGGATGCTGGATCTCCCAGGAGCTCTGTTGTGTATGGAAGCATTATTTCCTATATTGAAGGCTTTTTTAATGCCCTTGGGATGTCCTTTGGAGAAAGACAGGTACGAAACATCTCCTCTATGTGTACTTGTGGATGGTAGCAACGCCAGCGTTGTGTTTTGTGGAACGCTTTCCGAAAGCGTCAGATATAACAAAGTTATTTATGGTTTTAGCAAACCGTTCTGCACCGCTTGCAGTCTGTGCTGTGATGCCTTAGGAGAGCACGTGAGCAGGTGGAATAAGGGGTGGGCTTTTCTCTTTGTGGAGATGCTCCTGGGTGACTTCTGCAGCCATCGCACTGTGGGAATGAGAGTCTGAGGAGTGAAACAAGAAAAAGGCAGCACTGGGGGCCTTTAAGTTGGTCCCGTTCTGTCTGGCTTTCCCTCGGCTCTTCCTCTTCTTTCTGATGGTTGCACCCAGGCTGAATATTTGTGAGTGTTTGTGTTGTGGTATCCCTGTACAGCAGGAGCCGGGGCCCAGCTCCTCTGTAGAAAGCTGGGGTGCAGGGAAAAGGGGCCGTGGTAGGGCAGGGAGAGCAGCACGGGTGGCCTTCATTGGAAATACCTTATATATCCTCTAGTGCTTGGAAAGGTAAGGAGGGGGCAAAAAAGGAGAGAAAAAAGTTCAAAGTGAAGTACTGCACAGGGAAGAGGGTGATAAATACAGAGGTGATATATACGAATATATACTTGATATATATGGATGGGGAGCATTTAAAATGAGTGAGGTGTTGGAGGCTGCTGGGCTGTTCTGCGCTCCTCTCCTGCATAAATCTGGAGCTGAATACCTAGAAGTTGAAAACTTTCTTTAGAGAAACTGTTCTGCTAAAGATTTATTTTGGGGAGAGAGAGAAGAAGTCAAGAAAATGTGAGTAACCTTATTAATCCTTTTAGAGTCAGGCAGCATAGCAATAAATGCATTTATTTACAAAAAGGGGATTTTCCCACATCATTTCTTCCAAAGCAGCAGTTGGATATGGTTTGGCCGTGTCCTACTCCTCATCACCCATGGTTTGCCATGTTAGTCTTTACTGGCGTACTAAATGCTTACATTTGTCTGTAAGTCGATGGCAAAGTCGCTCCTGCAGACTCTGGCTTGTCTGCATGCTGGTGCCTGCTGCACCCGTGTTTTCTCTGAAAGCAGTGTCTGGCTGCTTTTCTCTTTCTCATGCTGTGCCAGCTTCCCTGGGGCAGCAGAGGGCGCTGGTGCGAGGGTGGGCAGGAGGGAAGGAGCGGCCACCTCGAAGTCTTCTCCGTCCCTCTGCTCTTTTGGCTTCCAGTAAATGAATCAGTCAGAATCTTCATCAGAAAGGTCCATGGGTGAGTAAATAAGATGTTACAGCGATTGCTCCCTGACCTCCAGACCAGCCACAACAGGTCAGGGTCCAACCTTTCTTGCCCCTTAGCCCCGGGAGCAGTCCCTGACCACTACGGGTGCTGGCATGGGCTGTTTGGGAGAGGGTTGGCCAGCCTGGCAGCCACTGTCCCAACAAGGGATGGTTCATCTTAGTCTGGTGGTTGTATAAAATAAGGCTGCCTGTCTCTCTCTGCACTGGCAGCCACAGGCAGGTAACATGAATCCATCTGGAAAGATGATGGGTGGAAACCATTGTGCTTGTTTTAGGGCTGGAGAGCAAAGGTGAGGGCTTTTGCTCTGCCGAGGAGCGCTGTGTCGTGGGTGCAGCCAGGGGCTAACAGGTGATTTATCTGTGGGGTAGCAAGGGCCAAATTTCCATAGAAAACTTCTTATGAGCTCTTTGGATTGGTTGGTAGTGCAGGAGAAGAAATTCAGAGGTCAGCCCTCAGTGACTGCACAGTGTGTTCTGTAGGAATCACATCGGTTCATCTCGTAAGGCTGCCCCTCCTTTTGGTGGATCTTGCCGTGTGTCATGAGTGGGTGCCTGGTTTGAACTTCAGCAGTGGCGTTTGTAGAGCCGCGTTTCTTGCGCCCCTCATCATTTGTCTTTCCACTCCCTTCTGTATTTAAGCCTTTATTCTGCCCTTTTACCTGCCCCAGGTTATGACGGAGCATTTCTGGTGCTTAGATTTATTACCTTCTTCAGTATCACAAACTTCTTCTTCAGAATGTTCACGTTTTGAAAGTCTGGGGAATTTGCTGCTGGTTTATGATTGTGGAGAGCATTGAGCATATCCCCTATGCTATCTTCAATAGCTTCCCCTTCACCTCCTTCTCCTCCTCTTTGTTTGCTTCACTCAGTGACCTCCAAATCTGCTCCCTTTCATTCCCACCCCGTTGTCAGTGACTACCTACAGTCCCCTCTGGCTTTAATTACTCAGTTGCTCTTCTGCTTCCAGGCGACTTTGACCTCCAGCCTTGCTGTGCTTTAAATTTCACCGCTCCTCCTCTTGTGTCTTGGTGCTAAAACACCACAGTGGCGCCTTCTCCTGTGTTAGCTCCCGTCGTGGTGCCCATCAGAGCAGGACACTCCAGGAGGACTGAGGCCGTTCCCATCCCCTGGTGTTGACCAGCGAAACTTCTGCCAAACCGGAGGAGGCCAGGGAAGGTCGGAGCTGGTTGGGGCCAGGCAGCAGCCCTAAATGTGCGCTGTGTGCAGTGGCTGCTGCTCGGTCAGACCTTGTTGGGGGGCTGATAAGATGGGTCAGGTAAAGGCTGGAGAAAGGATACTCTGGAGACTTAAAGTAAAAAATACCGGATTTTGCTGGTTTGTGATTCTTGAAGAGGGTCTGGAGCTCTAATGCAGAGAAAGGGGCTGGAAACTCTCGCTCTGCAGACATTTAGAGCTGTGGGACTGCCTGAGCTGGCAGCTGTGTCAGATGGCTCTTGCCAGGCCTTTTTTTCTATTAATTTCTCTAATCCCTTGTTAATTGATGCACGCTTCTGGCACCTGGGAGGTTTCCTGTTTCCCACAGTTGGGTCATGCAGCATGTTGTGTTCCCGTGAGAGCCCTCTGCTCCAAGACAGACGCTGTCCTGCACAGGAATGCACTCAACTACTTCCAGGTGTGCCTGTACTGTCACTTTTGCCCAGCATAGGTGAGATTGTGATGTTTTAATCCTACCAATACCATGAGAGATGCACAACCAAGAGAGATTATGAGGCCTTGACGTATGCTACTGGGTTGGGGTTGATTATTTTCAATAGTTTTCCGATGTTTGTAAAGCAGCCTGTTTGGTTTTCAGGTGGCCGTGGGAGGAGGTGACTCGGCTGTGCTCTCCAGTGTCATGGACGAGCTGGTTCGGTTCCGCACTAAGGTCCGTCGCTACGCGCTCGCTCTGCCCGAAGAAGCGGCAGCAGAAGCTGTGCCAACAGCGGGGGCCAAAAGACCCACACAGGAGGAGAAGGAAAAGAGGCAGCAGCTGCTGAGGGAGAGAAAACCCCTTCTGGAGGCTTGCGACAGCCTACGTGGAGACTTGGCCGCCTTTGGAATCTACGTAAAGGTAGGAGGCAGCGGCCCATTTTGTGGGGCAGTTAATTTTTTTTAAGACAGCATTTTGTTTTTGGCCTTTGTGCCCCTTCAGCAGCTTTCAGTGTTGTGCCCTGCTCCCTGCAGTTGCAGGAGGTGGAAGCCAAGCCCCTGCCTGGTTGTACCCCTGCTCATCTCTTCTGCTCCCCCTCAACCTTGTGTCTCCGTGCAGGCTGTAGCTGCTTCTGCAGTTACTGAGGGTGTGTTATTTAGCCACTGAAAATCCCACAACATTCAGAAATCCCCAAGTTGCCCAAGTTGAGTCCAGAAGAAAGGCTGTGAGTAATCTGTGCTGTTTTTAAAAAGATTGCAGAGGAACTGAAAAGTAAACTGAGATGACTTATTAAAATAATGCTTTCCCTCTACCCTCCCCATATTCCCACACCAAAAATAGACGTCCTTATGAGAAAGTTTTGTCCATCTTCAGCAGCTCCATTCCCAACTGTTCCTGAGCCATGAGTACTTTGCCTGATTTCCTGTACTACTCCTCTCTCCACCCTGTTTTCTGCTTTCAGCCTATACCTAATGTGACTGTGCTTTTCTTTCTCCATTACCTCAGTGGTGTCTCCTGCTCCAGAGAAATCCCTTCACTGGCTTATTGTCATAGAACCACAAAATGGTTTGGGTTGGAAGGGACCTTAGGGCCCCCCTGTTCCACCCCCCCTGCCATGGGCAGGGACACCTCCCACCAGACCAGGTTGCCCAAAGCCCTGTCCAATCTGGCCTTGAACACTTCCAGGGAGGGGGCATCCACAACTCCCCTGGGCAACCTGTGCCAGTGTCTCACCACCCTCATAGTGAAGAATTTCTTCCTAATATCTAGTCTAGATCTACCCTCTTCCAGTTTGAAACCATTCCCCTTCGTTCTGTCTCTACCTGCCCTTGTAAAAAGTCCCTCCCCAGCTTTCCTGTAGGACCCTTCAGGAACTGGAAAGCCACAATAAGGTCCCCCTGGAGCCTTCTCTTCTCCAGGCTGAACAACCCCAACTCTCTCAGCCTGTCTTCATAGAGGAGGTGCTCCAGTCCTCTGATCACCTTTGTGGCCCTCCTCTGGACTCGCTGCAACAGCTCCATGTCCTTCTTATATTGGGAGCCCCAGACCTGGACGCAGTACTCCAGGGGGGTCTCACCAGATCAGAGCAGAGGGGCAGAATCACCTCCCTCACCCTGTTGGCCACACTTCTTTTGATGCAGCCCAGGATGCAGTTGGCCTTCTGGGCTGCAGGTGCACGTTGCTGGCTCATGTTGAGCTTCCCATCAACCAGCGCCCCTGACCTCAGGGTTATTCTCAAGCCATTCTCCACCCAACCTGTATTTGTGCTTGGGATCACCATATCCTAGCTTCAAGGTGCTACGTTGCTTTTTTAATGGGTGCCACTTCTTCCAGCTCCTCTTGCTTCACTTCTCACCTGTGCTCCACCCTTTGCTGGGTTAGTGTTGTGCCTTAGTGCAGAACAGTCCTCCACTTTCCTGTGTCTTTCCCTCCATGCTGCTCACATTTTCCCCTCACTCAGGAACTAAGCCTTGCGTGGTCTCCTTGCATTGTTTGACCAAGGGGAGGATTTAAAGCACAGTGACTTTAGAGAGTGACAGCAGACACCCCTGTTGGCTGCTGAACATGAGAGCAGCCATTTGTCAGCACACCTATTAAAAGCAAACACGAAGTGTGGTTGGCTGTTGAGTGAGCTCAGATGGGAGTGAGCGTGCTGGTACAGACTGGAACGAGGGCCAAAGCGCAGTGGTGGTGAGCTACAGCTGTGAAGCAGAGGAAGACCCTGGGAAGGTGGAACACCTGCTTCCTTCACTTGTTTGTGCACAGCTACATCTTCACTCCACTTACCTGTCAAGAAAGTTTGCAAATCCAAACAACTGCACTGAGACAAAGTCCTGAAGAAGACGACTCCTTTTTGCTCCGTTTGGCACAACGGCTGCAGCCCCACCTCCACCCTTTTGAAGATTTGAGTTGTTCTTAAAGGGATTTACAGACGTTTAAAAACCTCCTAGAAATTGCCCTTAGTCAGGATTCAGCCTATTCCATTTATTTATTTATTTATTTAAATAACCTGAAGCTTGGCATAATCTGTCTCCTTGTCCCAGAGTGGTTTTCTCCTGCAGACGAAGCACGTGTGCACGTGTGAGCACACACAGCACGCGTCCAAAGCTGAAATCCTGCTTTCGTGTGGGAGCATCTGAAGGTGTGCTGAGAGGGCTGCCCAGCTCTTGCCTTTGCAGATCCCAGAGTCCTGCAGACGGAGCAGCGCAGCTCTGCGGTTCCTCATGAGCCTTCCCAGAGCAAAGACATGGCAAGATGTGGCCCTACCCAAAGCAGGGCTCTTGCCACCCTGGGTTGGCTATTGCCAAGAATGCCACAGTAACACAGCAGCTAGCAGCTGGGTCCTGCGTGCCTGATAAGCACTTGAGGAAGTAATTTGAATTTCTCTTTTCTACCCAGCCTCCCATTTCCATGCAACTTTTATAAGCCCCATGATACGCATGTGGTAATGCAGCTGTCAATGTGCCCTCCCTCTGTCACCTGCAGCTGAAGGCAACCAGCAGCTTCTCGAGTCCATGAGCAGGAGGAAAAGCAGCGGGACAGATGAAGCAGACAAGCCCCATTTCCCCCCAGTGCAGGCTATAGGAACCCTTGGCTTGGGGCTGGGCAGGGAGGGGTTGGCTGTTTTAGGGTGCGAGTAGCAACTTAGAGAATGCCAGTAACTTCATTCACTTAAAAATCAGCTTTGAGGAAAGGGTAATTTCTCCTTCAGGTTGGATGTTTGTGATTTCTGGACCTTGGCTGCTTCTCTCAATGCAGATGCTGTTTTGTTTGTCTGAAGTTAGAGAACTTGCAACAAGCTAATTAAAACATCCACCAGTCTTTTTGTGTCATTACAGGGTGCATGAAATGCAAGCTCATCTGTGCTGTGAAGTGAAATGTAGTAATTACATCTTTACACATCAAAAAGTTTTCACTTTCATGTAAAGAAAAAGGACGTTGTATTCCAGCCTCTCTCATGAGTTGGGGTTCATTTGACACTTTTTAGCACGTTAAACTTGTTTCCACATTCAGATGATAACTTCTGTTTCATTTTCAACAACTGCAGTCAAGGCTGGACCTTCACAACCAGAAATGTAATATTCTGTAATATTCTTTCAAAAATACGACAGCCATTGCATTACAGCAATTTACAGCAACGAAGCATTATCCTAAAATTCAGGAGATCCAATATGTTGGGCAATATATTCTCATGTATTGGCCACAAGAGGAGCCATTTTCCATGCACACGAATCATTTAAACATGAAAATGCAACCCAGTTTCACAGAAGTTACTCATGTAAGCGAGACTACACCCCGCTGCAGCATCCCACACTGACACTTCTATAGTAGTGGGGTTGTTTTATGTTCTTAACTGGGAAGAGGTGTCTGGGTTTGTTTTAGAGCTTCCTAGCATCAGTAGAAATGGTGCTCCTGTGGGATGGTATCGCCACAGAACCAACCACCTACACACGATGATACCTGTGTGGTGCAGGTGGCTGGGACTGACCCGCTCTCCTCTTCTTGCAGGACAGAGCCGCTGTTTCCACCTGGGAAATGGTGGAAGGAGGCCAGGCAGAGCGCCAGACTGAGGAACAAAGCTGATCCTTCATCCTGGGACTTGGGTTTTTTTTGTTTCAGCTGCTTTGGGAACAGTTGTAAATATCAATAATTTGAAAATAAAATCTTTGGAACAGAACAGCTAACGAAGATACAGTCCGAGCAAAACTGTTGCCACTACTACTAGGAGGTAAATAACTCCAGGCCTCCCAGCAGGTGTGTATGTGGTACAGGTGGTGGGAGCTTCCGAAATACAGGGTAGCAGAGAGGCAGCCGTGGTGCCTGACCCAAGCCTCAGTAATACCGCAGGAACTGCCCCAGTTGCTGTGTGATCTGCGCTCACATCTCTGTTGCTGAGCTGGCAGCAGGAGTTAAAGCACAGTGAAGAGGCAACGACTTCAGCCTGAGGGTGATAACACCAAGTTTTATGCCTCCTGGTTTACACAATTCTGTTTTCCTCAGGCACTTCCAGCCTTGAAGTGTTTCCTTATTGCAGTGGTGCTGCTTTGGTCCTGTGATACCTTTAACCATACCATGGTGGTATCCTATAACATAGTTTGGTATCTTTTCAGCTCGCTTTTGGACAGGATGGGAGTGCAGCACACTCAGGATCTCTCTCCATCAGAACTGGGAAGAGAAAAATCAGTTTAGTGTTTAGTTATTAAGCCCCTGCAAAAGAAATAACCTGTCTGAATTTCGGGATCAGTGTTAAGTGTCCATATTGGAAATAAACCGGCTGTTGTACGCTGCGTGGTAATACCCACATGGGCACGCACGCCTTACACACCACACGAGGTCAGATCAGAACAGCTTTTTTCTTCTGCTGTGTTTCTGTTAAAAAATATCCCCTTCATGGTATGGATGTAAAGGGGTGCAGAGCGGCCTCGCTCACACATGAGGCAAACCTCTGTTCTAGCAGCTGAGTTTACATGCGGCTCGTGTTGCCTGCGGGCACACTTCATCTAAAGCAATTTGTGATAACAAAATCAAGAAGGCTCATTCATCCACAAGGAATTTGAACATACAATTCACACAAGTAGCCTGTTCAAAAGGGCAGTGGCTTTCTTTTTTATGATGGTTATTATATAATAAAATGTGCAGCTGTTTCTCCGCTCCCTTCTAGAGAAGACTGGGGGGGGGGCGGGTCTTCCTTAGCACTTTTTGGCAGATACTTATTTGACACCATTGGTATTTTGTGTTGTGTTTTGTTAAAGGGGGGGGGGGGGGGGGGTAGCTGTATTGCTCCAGTAAACGAGAACGAATGGCAAGCTGTCAGCTCTGCGTTGGAACACACCAAACAAAGTACACACAGTTAATTTGCTATTATTTTTTTTATTTCCTACCAAAAGAAACTGCTACATTTCCAGAATGCTGAAAAATTGTAACAACTCGAATACATGAGTGAGTAACAGAGTTACAAGGTCTGTGTAGATTTAAAACCAAGGTGGCAGGTTGAAATTGGTACTGAGCTCCGGTAATTGATTGACCTCGCCTACAAATGCCATTTAGCTATAACACCACTGATGGTCTAAATACAAAAAAAATTGCTCGTTTTAAAGGAAATCCAGTCGTTGTTTTCAAATGCTTTAACTTTCTGATTTTATTGAGAAGGGGGTTAGTTTTAAGGGGAAAAAAACAACAGTAGCTTGGTTTCCCCAAGATGTAGACAGTTTACAAAACTGCTTAAACACAACACCAAAACATCATCTTTTATGAGTAGATGTTGCTCAAATCTAAAAAGTCTGTGGACCCTCACAGACCGAAAATGAGCAAACATTTAAACACCTATTTTCAAAATAGGTAACTGGTTTAAAAAGAAAACAAACAAACAAACAAAACCGAACAAAGAAATGCACGGGGGTGAGGTAGTAGTCACAGTGCATCCGGAAATCCCAGCGCTACGGGCAGCAGGGAAATCCTCTGAGCAGCCTTTCCCATCCCAGGTGCTGTCTGTGGGCAGCCTTGGCAGGGTACAGCACTGCTCTGAGCAGTGTGCAGGACACCCTAGTCCTGAGCTACAGCACCAGAAAAGAGTGGCTGCAATGAATATAGAACATCTACTGCAACAACTCGGCACAGCGTATGCTTGTTCCTGCGCTGTATATACACACTTAGAGCTGGGTTGTAGGTTTAAGGGCAGGACCCACTGCCAGACCTCACGGGAAGTTTTGTGAATGGACTTGGCGTGAACTTGGCCCTCTCTCTGTATTGGTTCAAACCCTACAAGCTTTGACTGATTTTCAGAAATTTAAGAAACCATACTGTGCAAAATCCCACACAACTTCCCCTCTATACCCAGCACTCGGCCAACGAGCCAGGCAGGTATGGCCCTAAGAGCAGAAGTCCTGCTTGTCTTTAGGGATCGAGGAAAAAGCCCCTAAACCCGGGTGCTGCACCAGCCAGAGTTTTTCTGTTCCTGCCTTTGGCCTGCACAGCACTACGAGTGTACAGGTATGTGCTGCTGTCTGCCTTGTATTCCTTCAGCTCATATTCCTGCTCTGTGTCTGTACGCTGGCCCCGAACTCCACAGGCAATGTGAGTTTTCACTTCACTCTTCCACAGTCACTGAGAGTGTGTCCAGTTCAGTCAGGTATCACCAAGATCCTGACCTCACCTAGTGCCTCTGGAATGAGAATTTCACCAAATTCATCACAGCAAGTTCTAGATGAGTCAAGGCCAGCTACAGGAATAGAAAATACTTATTTTTCAGGTAAGCATAACTACTGTTTACTGCTAAGATACCCTACAGTATATCCTTAACCTGTGATGGGGGAAGGCTGTTTTGCAGGAAGGGGTGTACTGCCGAAATGAACGCTGCCTCTGGGACTGGGAATGGGGAAAGGCAACTACTTACATTCAAAACCTACAGCAACTCTCATGCATTCCCTTTCCAAAGAGGCTCACTTTTTGCTTCTTAGTATACTAGCATGGCAAAAAAGGAAGTGCAATAGCTAATTCCAGACAGAGGGTCTAAGACTGAAAACATGACAACCTTGGTACAATCCAAGAAATTCGGTCGAGCTGGTGGAAGAATTTTACCTAGAGTATCAAGTGCATTTTCTTTTTTTTGCTGTTCACACTTCAGTTATTGCTCAATAACTATCAAAAAGAACAGAGGAATACTTTCAGTTTAGTTTTATTATATTATAACAGATCTGCAACTACAGCTTATTTCAGCCAAAACATTTTTGTATTCCAAACTCTTAAAAAATATCTACATTAATCATATTTTTCTATTCTTAAAAATAAAAAAAAATCTACCTAGCATACCAATGCTGCTACAGCACTTGAAAGGGTGTATTACTTATGTAAATCCTACAGTAAATGTAATTACTCTTGCAGTCATGGTTCTTCCTTTTCCTTTCTTCTTCTCTGCTGCTTTGGCTTCAGGTTTCAAAAAGTTTGCTAAAAGCTGTTCCAACTTCTGAAACCATGTCAGAGGCAGTCATTGAGCGTCCGAATTTTTGAAAGGCTTGGTGGTTGGACTGCCTGGTCAGAGAGCAAGCTCCAAATGCAGCCACTAGAAAGGGGTTTTGACTGAAAGGAAAAAAAAGAACAACATTATAAGCGAAACCTGAACGCTCTTGTGTAATTCCTAAGGTGGTGGACATAATCTTCATGCCCACAGATGTTTGTCAGTATTTTTGGGAAGGCCTTTTAAGCAGCCTTAAGTGTTTCTCTGACTCCTGCATTGCAGAGCATCTTTGGCTGAATTTTTTTAATGAATGTGACTGAGTGAAGACCACCACCTTGTGCAGGATGCACAAGGAAAACACCCTTGCTTAAAGAGCCAGCAAGACGGTGTTCAATGTCTAGGTTTACCTCTGTGAAACTTCATCCTTTCCTTCAGGGGAAGACTGCAGTCTCCCCTGCCAGCCCTTTAACTCCCCTTACTGCCCCCTTGCTGGGTAACTTGGTTTAGTTTTGTACTACAGGGGGTGGGGGAAGGACCGGGGGATGCAGACAAGGGATGATTTTTAACAGGGCCATAATCAGTGTTGTGGGCTTTCATGAGACACAGGCTGGGCCATGGGAGCTGCTTCTGCTGCTTTTACAGCACCAAAGCAGAGGGAAACAACCACGGGGTAATTCAGCAGCCAGCCCTGGGCTCCAGTGGCCAACCGCTTAAAAACCTCACAAAGCTCTGCCACAGCTGGGACGTAGCTGCTCTTAAGTCTCTAAGGACCTTCTGACAACATAAACCACAGGTAAAGCAAAAAATGAGTTTTATGATTAGGTGTTACCAGGGCAGGTTCAAGTATCATTTCGTCGTAAACAGCAATTTCATACCCTGATACTCATACTCCAAAGATACCACCTTGGCATCCTGCCTCCTTAACAGGAAAATCCTATCTGCTATACCATTAGAACCCGTGCAACCTCAGTGTTTCAAAACCCTGCTCTGCACAGACCTGTTTGGAAGCAGCAGAGCCATGCACAAGCTCAGGACTGGCTGGACTGCCTGCAGCGCAGTCTGCAAGCTGATGCCCTGATTCACTGAACCCAAAAAGCTCCTCCTTTCCCAAAGCACACAAGATAAACACCTGCCGTGCTGATCCTGTTTGAGAAGGGTCACCTTAGCACCACCACAGGAGACACGATGTATCGCTGGTGCCAATTATACTCTCCCACTTTTCCTTCATCTATAAAATAAAGGCGTTTCTGAGCAAGCTGTCTGGAAGAGCCACAGGAGCCCAAGTCAGGAAAGGCTGGCGAACACGTGCTGTGTTTGCTGATCTCTCCAACAATTTAATACTCATCTGTTGTACACCACGCAAAAATGAACTCATCCTTTTAATGAAGCAAAATTCTTCCTTTAGTGGCAGCTGCAACTTCAGCTACACAAACAACCTTGGTGTTATTTTTCGTTCTGGCTATGTTAGATTTCAGGATTTTTAAGTCTGGTTCAACTGGTCCCTCGTTCCTCCTGGGGGACCTGGTGCAGTGCTCTCACGGCGTAGTTAGCTCCCATGGACACCTGACTACGAACGATCTCCACTCCTAAAGCTTCAACAGCTCATTACTTACTGGGACGAGGGACTGTTATTCCCCAAGTGCTTGTGCCAGGGTTCCTTTCGACTTTATTTAAAGCAGCTACCTCCACAGAAGGACTACGTGACTGTATGGACCAACCAGTTGGAGAGGAATTGACGTGATTTAACAAGAAAGCCAGCAGTCAGCTGCAGCTGTGTGGCTACTTTATGTACAGCCAAACTGCACTGCCATTTGGCCTTAAAACAGTCACCTCTTTGAAATTGTATTTTATTTGTGAGTTTCAACTTACCTGCCTCACTGAATTACTTAGGTACAACCAAGAGGAGGATTCACCAAATTACAGAAATAAAGCTAAATAAGGTGTTTTTTGAATTACACAGATGTTACTGCCAGTGACTACCACTTATTTATTCTTCATGCTTCCTGCCTACATTTAGTTGTTTTGAAAACACAAACTCCATGCATAAATGTCCTTGGGAATCGATCCAGGTTCACACTATTATTCTGCCTCAGACTTGGGAGATGTTAGGTTACTGAAGAGTCTGTTGTGTTAAAATTATAACTCTTACATAGACTGCTCTAGAACACCCATGCATTTTTTGAAGGTGTATGGATACCTTAGTGCCAGTGACTCCAATTTCATCTGGAAATTTCTCTAGCAGGTCTACATTGGCCAAAGGAGAACACAAACTCACAAGAATTAAGAAGTTATCAATCAACATTCGTACCCGTTTGTTTTCTCTGCTCCAGCAAGAAATGCCCAGTGCGCCAAGACTCCAAGAGACCCAGACAGGAGGTCCCCCTGCCCACCGCATCTCCGGCTGCTTCCTTCGTGGCTGCACACGAGCACTGTGAACAGACACCAACACCAAAGTCACCTGCATGTTTTATTCTATTTACCATGGCATCGCTGTAGCTGTGAGGGTTAACCTCTGAGGCACGCAGGTGAGAGATTAATCCTAGGCAGCAGTGTATGCTGAAGTATGCTATCCTTAAAAGAAATAAACTGCATTAACATTTTAAAAATACTTCTCTAATTTCTCTTCAATCCTTTACAAGTAGCATCGCACAATGTATGCACCTTCTCCACTTCACTCAGCTTGCACAGAAGGTTCAGTAGTAATGAGTTTAGTGATTCATGAGAACTGATGCTGCCACAATGAGCAACCACCCCAAAATGGATCAGGCCCCTCCACAAAGCCATCACACAAATGCAGCTCTCCAGTCTCCGACCTTCAGTTTACAAACGTGAACCGAGGTGTTTTACGAAGAGCAACTGTGAAACAGAAAAATCTCAAACCTTCTGCCATGCCAGTCAGGAAGATACTCTCCTGAAAACAGCCTTTTCCTTTGGCCTTGTAACAACCATCGGCAAAGAGATCCCTTTTTCTGCCTAACCAACAGCGTCCCCAGCAGCTGCGTGTGCTTCTGTCACTGTGGGAAGGCTCTGCTGGATGATGTTACATTTCTACTTGAAATGTTACAATGTTACATATCTATTTCAAATACAGGAAGGACCTTGGTCAAACTGATCGCTGTGGAGCTTTACCTATGAAGTACATGCAAATACTCGCACTAAATTTAACTCCTTTGTTCTCCACTCTCAACAAGACCAAGGAGGAAGCCTGAAGGATACATAAGGCGCACACACAAAAAAATGCCAGCACCGATTCTGCTGCCCTTCTCCAAAAACTCTCTTGTGGGTACAGATCTATCCCTTAGCTCTCCTTCTTACCAGGCTCTGAAAAAAAAGCCAGGAGAAATTTATTTTCCCCTCCTAGGGGAATGGCAGAGCTTGCAGAATCGCTGGTGGTCAAGCCGTGCCCCTTAGCACGGTCAGTCAGCTGCTGCGGAGCTGCTCAGGTAGGGCCTACCTGGACAACAGCTCTCACCCCAATTTTCTCAAGTCACCCGGGCCGGCTTTCTCCAAGGTGTGGGAACAGAGCAGTCCAGGTGTTTCACGGGAGTACTACTCACATTTTAAACCAGAATTTTTTCCTTACAAAGCAATGGGAAAAATCTGCACAAAACTGAAGGGCTTGCAAGTAAACCTTCACAAATAGCAAGAGGTAAAAAAAACTACTCAGGTAAACCTGTTTCAGTTCATTAGCATAGTTAATTTCTGCTTTTTGTTAGTGGGTGCAGCAAAGAATTGAACTTCACTTCCATTTCCTACCCATTCTTCCTGCAGTAATTGCTGGGCGTTGAGGCCAGGCAGTTGTGCATTTCTGCTGCCACTGAGAGGGCAAAGATTCATCAGTCACCACGAACACGGCAGACATGGCTGCAGCGCTGCCAGCAGCTAATTTTCCCAATCACTCGTCTCCCCTCCCCCTTCCCTCCCAAATTAAGATTCTGGATGTGTGTTTTCAGCGAGCAGTAGTTAACGTCAAATTTCACGAGTGTAATGCTCTTC